GAAATAGCTCTGAGTCCTCACTCTCATGTCCTTTCCTGTCCACTGCCTAAACATGGTGGCTTTATCCTGTTGCCCTGGCACTAAGCCCCTCTACCCACTTTCCAAAACTGCCTCCTGGTAAGGATGATGTTGGTGTACTCAGGTGTGGTTCCAAACAGACCTGGAAGTTCTGCTTGGCCTCTACTTTCCTTCTATCTGTGTCACTCACTTTGGCCACCCCAAGGCAGGGAGCGACCCCCACCCTGCATCCCCCTGCTCTGTGCCTCTCAGCCCGTCTGGCAGACCAAAGGAGCTAGAAGGGACTTGTCACTTGGTGGCCTTCCAGAACACCTCGCTCTCCACCCTTCTCCCAGCCCTGACAACTCAATCCAGCTGACAGGACAGGAAATGGGAGTATGCAGCAGGCCTGCCGCCAAGACAGCTCCACTTTTCCCGGCAGAGGGAGGAAATGGGGCAGGGGGCTGCCTCCCTCCGTGCCCCTTCCTCTCTGGGGAGAAGACCATTTCCAGCCCACGTGTTGGGGACGAGAGCTGGACTCCTAGAGCCTTCTTGTCCTTGAATCCTAAGACGCTGATCTGATGCTCAAGTAGAAATGGAGCCTGGAGCTGGGCAAGATGGTGCAGGCAGAGGCCCCATACCCTGAGAGGCTGAGGCAGGAAGATAGAAAGTTTGAACCCAGCCTGGGCAATTTATTAAGACCCTGTTTCAAAAAAAGTTTTTAGGAAAATGGGAATTTTTTAAAGAACAAAAGCCCTGGCTTCAGCCCCAAAAGAGGGGAGAGGGAAGGGGAGAAAGAGAGAAAGGAGGAAGAAAAAGGAAGGAAGAAGGCAGACAGGGAAAGAAGAAGAAAGGAGGAGGAGGAAGAGAAGAGATGGAGCCCCTGGAGAGCTTGTGACTCCCTAGGGGTACAGCCAAGGAGGTCAGATGTCACACCAGGAGGACCTGGGGAGGGGTCAAAATGGATCAACACTTAGGAAACACAGCATCCTGGAGTAAGGCTTTAGTTAGTCTGGGGAAAATCTTCCAGCTGTTCAGAGGGTGGGGTAAGGGACAGAGAGATAATTTGCATTTCATTTGCATTTCATTTGCATGTCACTCCTTTGATGTCCAAAGGCACTGAAATTTCCTGCCCTGGCTTCTTTTTCTCTTTCTTTCCGCTGTTCCTTTTTAACCTCCAGGCAGCCTCCTATCTGTTCTTCCCCATAGTTCTTCCTCTCCCAGGGTAACAGAGACACAGAGTATTAGGCCGGGGGGCACCCTTCCCCACCAGTCCACAACTCAAAAAGCTGGTTTTACAGAAACCATGAGCGCCAGGAAAGAGGGGATGGAACAAAGGGGTCCTTTACACTCTCGCTCTGATTAAAATGATTATCAAAGAAGTCAGAGGGCGAGAAAATAGAATTGTCTGTCCCTCCTCCCTGTGCCCTACACACATATGCAGGCCTTTGAAGACCTTTACATATCAGGCAGCTTATGATCAGGTGCAAGTCCCTCATACTGTGGGCCTGGACTTCCACACATGAGGGGGGTCAGAATGATATTTAGGTTCCTTCTACCTTGTTATGGGAACACAGAAGACAGCGGAGAAAGGAAGGCGCAGAGTCGGCCCCGCCTGGCTTTGAGGGTCTGAGTCCCATCCCCACCACCCACTTCCTGTGCCAACCTCCCTCAATCTGTTCCCTCATATACGGAAAAGGGCTAGTGATTGTACTTTCCATCGAAAGCTGTGCGGACCAGCAGGGCGTGGAGGTGCGGGTCTGTAATCACAGCTATTCCGGGGGCTGAGGTAGAAGGATCAGAAGTTCAAAGCCAGCCTGCTCCATTTAGCAAGACCCTGTCTCAGAATTAAAAGGGCTCCGTGGTAGAGTGCTTGTCCAACAGTTCTGAGGCCCTAGGTTCAATCCCAAGCACAATACACACATATAAACATACGTACAAAAAAATTAAGTTTTGCTAAACAGACTAAAACAGAGTACATGTGTTCGGCATGTAGTACAGTTCTTGGGACCTACGAAGCACTCAGGCTATTTGCTGAGTGAACATGAGGTACTATCTTCGTCCTTCTCCCATGCCCACTCTGTCCCACCCTCCAAACTTTCCACCTCCCCACCCTATGCCTCCAACTGTGAACCCCAGGTTTCTATCTCTTTCTCACTGACTCCTCCCTAAGAGCTTCACCCCCAGAATCCTAGGCTGCTAGTGCTTGAAGGCCCATAGACATCATCAGATACAAACTTCTCTGGCTTCTGGAAAGCTACAGCCCAGGCAGGAGCGGTGGCCACACTGTGATCCCAGTTGTGGGTGGCGGTGTGGTCTGAAGCAAGAGGATTACAAGTTCAAGGCCAGGCTAGTGAGATCCTGCCTCAAAATAAAACAAAAAATTTTCAAAATAAAAAGGATTGGAGATATAGAGCAGCCTTGGGTTACATCCTCAGTACGAGAGGGACAGAGAGAGACATCAGAAGCCCAGAGGGGAGAAAATGTGACTTTGTATGTAAGAAAGTGCATGAGATCCAGGATATGGTGATCAGAGAACTAGACCCTAGGTGGGCATGAGCACAAAAACCAGACCATGTGTGTGCATGACCATGCAAATGATATGTAAATAGAGATATGGAAATCACATGCACCCAGGGGTATATAAACTCCGTGCAAACATTTTCCTAGGATGATGGCAGGTAAGTGCCGTTGTAGATTAAAAACAGGAAAGTCAAGGAAGGGGCCAAACTTAAAGTGGAAGAGGGAAGGAAGGGACAGAGGCTGAGAAGGTCCTGACAGGGGTTCCCGGGGTCACTTGGGCCTCACAAAAGCATCTGTAGATTTGAGCTTGGACCAGAAGAAGCAAAAGAGAAGCCCCTCCACCACCTTTTTGCCTGTCGAGGAGAGCTGGGTATGGCTGGGGGAGTAGGGTGTGCGTGGCCCTGAAGACTCCCAGGCCACTTCCTGCTCCAAGACCGCTTCAGCACCCACTGAACTCCTTGTGAGGCCTGGGTATGCTCAGCCCTGCTGCAGCTCTGGGGGCAACAGACAGAAACAGCTAGCTGCAACCTGCCACTAAGGATATCAGGGGCAGTGAAGTGCTACAGCAACTCAGTAAAAGATCAGATCACAGCCAGCTTGAAAGAGGGGCATGTGAATGATGCATTGAGGGAGTAGAATGCAGTGCTTTAGATCAAAAGAGTTCCAAGCCAGGCCAGGGATGGTAGTGCATGCTTGTAATCCCAGCATACAGGGAGGCTGAGACAGGAGGATCCCAAATTTGAGACCAGGCTGGGCATCTTAGTGACTTCGTAAGACCTTGTCTCAAACTAAAAAAATAAAAAAAGGGCTTGGGATGTAGCTCAATGCAAAAGCCCTGGGTTCTGACCCTAGGACCACCAAATAATAATAATAATAATGATAATAAAAATAAAAAGCTCTGACACTGGCTGTGTAAATTGACAAGTCAAACTCCCATCTGGAAAAATGGAAATAATAATGGTACAATTTACAGATTATTGTGTCCACTAAGTGAGCTCAAAAGGCATTAAAGATGCCTTTAAAGTGGGGGTCAGCACCCTTCCTGGCACACAGCAAGAGTGTGATAAATGCTAGGTCTTATAATCGGAATTACTGGAGTAGAAACGTAACCAACACTAAAGCCAGGCCAAGAGGCAGAGAAGCCTGGGACCTGCTCTGAGAGCCAGAAACAGAAGTAAGGACTAAGGTAATGGTAGGGAGACACGGAGCCCTGTCTGGGAAAGCAGGCCAGGCTCTTTTCTGCTGTGCGTCTCCATGTGGCCTTCTGAGCTTCTGGCCAGGTGGTCTCTCGGCTGAGAATCACTTACTGGCACCTGAAAAGCAGAGGAAGCAGGGATGAGTGGAGTCTGAAGTGATGAATCTACAGAGAGCACTTCAGTAGGAGTCCAAAGACCTCATTTCCAGCCAGGCTTTGTCACTGGGGCATCATGTGCCTTTGGACAAGTCACCGCCAAGCTCTGGAAGGTGGCTGTCACCGCAGCCCCCAACGGGCAAAGGATCTGCACAGCCCTCTCTCACAGCGCCTCAGGGCATCCTGGGACCTGGAGGTGGGCGGTGTCTTCACCCGGAAAATGTGATCCTTAGCTGGGGCTGTCTAGTTAGGAAGAAGCCACCCAGGCTCGGTGAGCTTGGCCTCCTGCTTACCTCAGATCGATGCCAGTTTTGATTAGCACTTGGCCCGTTTTACAGATTAGTAAAATGAGTTCAGAGAGGTGAAGAGTCTTGTCCCCTACCACAAAGCTGGTAGTCGTGGAGAGGTAGGATTCCAAGACCAGATTCTTTCCAGCACACCCCCGCGGCTTTTCCAAACACTCCAGGTTCCTTGTAGCGCTTTCTTCGGGAGCCAGTCCAGACGGAGGCTCTGGCCCAGGGGCGAGCTGGACCAGGAGCCCGGGCCGCTGCGGGTGTGGTGGGGAGGGGCGGCCAGGCCGGGTCCTGCAGACGGCAGACAGGTGTTGGTCTGTCCGCCCCGGCAGCGCCCACCTCCTTCCCGGCCCCCACCTCCCCATATGCAAATCGCTGTTTTGCCTGGGCCCGGGGCCAGGGGGCGTGGCCGGCGGCCCCCGCCCCGCGCCGCGTGCTCACCTGGGGAGTGTGGCAATCCTGACCGCGCCGAGTGCCACCCGGGCCGGAGCAACACAGCACGCGACGGCGGTGGCAGCGGCTCCGGCTGCGGCCGGGAGCGGGACGAAGGAGACCCTGGCTTCCCAGGGGGCCCGGCTGGGGCAGACGCTGGGGGCCTGGGGGGGCGCTGGCTTTGGCCCCGCCTGGGGCAGGATGGTGAATCTGGAGCCCATGCACCCAGGTGAGACGCAGAGGGAGGGCGCTCTGACAGGTGTCATTGCGCGCGGGAAGTGGGGAAGGAGAGGGGCACCTCGCCATGGGGGGCTTATTCCCCAGCGGCCAGGAGAGGGCGGTGTGGATAGCGGGTCGTCCTGGGTAGGTGTCTGGGGGGCTAAAGGGGGCGCCGTCTGGGTAAGGAACCTTGAGAAAGGATGAGGGTGGGGCGCGGGATCTCCGGGAGCCCCAGATCCCTGGAGGGAGCGGGCAGTCGCTTAGGTGTGCTATGCCGCTGCTGTCCCATGAGCTTGCTGAGATGGGTGTGCACTCACTCAGCTGGGGTGTGGACCTGGAAGTGCATATGCTACGTGTATCCACATGCTGTGCAGCGGGTGTCCCGCGCCTGTCTGAAATGGAGCCAAAGTGGGTATTTGTGTGGGGGGCTTTGGAGGAGGAGGGCAATTACAGAGGCTCCTGCGGGGCAGGTGCCATGTGTATTGATTAGGGCATGCGCAGCAGGTGAGTCAGAGCATCTGCCTGTGCCCGTGTGTGTTGCGAGACGGCATGGGACAGTCCCCAGAAGCGGCACGTCCTGGGCACTGAAGATCCCTGCGCACATGTTCCGGGTGTGTCAGTATGTACGGGAGGTGTCCCCCCACATGCTCTGTGGGTCTTGGTTGTGTCTGGGCGCGTTGCATGGTGAACCTGTGTCCCAGGGTGGGTGGTGACAGATCCCCCCTGTGGTTCCCATATCCCGTGACCTCCTTTCCCCAGGGCTGGGAAGCCTGGGGTAAAGTATTGCCGGAGTCCATTTCTCCTGGGTGAAGGAATGATAGGTGGGCACGGAATGAACTGAATCTCCATTTAGCCTTCTGACTGCTTTCACAGCTGGGCTAGGGTGGGAGCTGAAGTGAAGGGCTGGGCTTGGGGTCAAGGGTGGGCATGTGGGAGGCTTCCTGATTTGGTGGACATCTGAGGGCCTGAGCAAAGAACACTCCAGGTGAAGAAAACTGTAGCTGGCTTGACTGCTTCAAACTCAGCACCTTGCCTCTCAAAGCCGGCAGGGTCAAAAGACCTTTATTTAGGGTTTCAGGGTTGCTGAACTGTGTGGTTTGCTCTCCTTTGCGGGAGAGTAGGGAGGAGAAGGCAATTCCCCTGACCTACCCCAAGAAACAGGGCAGGTTGGAGGCTTTGGCCCTTCCTGGGTCCTACCAGTCCTAAAAACAAGCAGCAGTGGGTGCGCAGGGAACCTGGGGAGCCCAGTTCCTGTTTCCCAGCAGGGCTGAGTGGAAGGATGGCTTCGAGGAACCGATCAACTCAGTGTCATCCAGGGTCTGGCCAAAGTCTTGCTTCCAAACCCCATGGCACCAACATGGAGCTGGGAGCACCTGGGGAGGATCCCCTGGGAGGTTTTTCTTTCCTTCATTTCCTGTCAAGAAGGCCAGGGTTCAAAGGGGAATGAGACTCCTCCAAAGATGGGTCCCAGCAGGAGGTGGGGAGTTCTTCAGGACTAAGATCAGAGACTTCCTGGGGGTTTTCCACCTCCTCCTCCACTGGAGGCTCCTGCTCTGGGGAAATGGGAGGAGGTGGAACAGCTGGGGCCAGGCAGGGAAGCAGCCTTGGGGCTGAGTATCTAAGGCAGGAGATGGGGTGAGGCTGGGAGACAGGGCCAAGCCCCCATGGCTTCCCCTGGAGCCAGCTCCAGGCTGATGCTTCTCAGAGAGCTTGCTCATCCTCTGGTCCCTGTGGGCTGGGTGCCAGACACCAAGGGGCCGTCCGTCTTGGGATAGACTGGCTGGCTCATCTGTACACATTTTCTTGCTGCCCTCTCCCCAGCTTTTTCTTTCTTTGTAACCACGGTCCTTTTGTATGTTTTATTTTGAGACAGGTTCTCACTACATTGCTAAGTTGCCTAGGCTGGGTTAGAACTTGCAAACCTCCTGCTTCAGCCTCCCAGAATGCTGGGATTCCAGACATGTGCTACCACGCTCTATCCAGCTATTCCTTTAGTCTGTTTCCCTGGGGCTGTCAGGCCTCCCTGCAAGATTCCTCGGTCTTGACTCCTCTGTACTGTTTCCGTCCCTTCAGTGGCACCTCCGTGGGCTCTCTTGGTTTAGGACTTTCTGCGCAGAATTACTGACTAGGTCTTGGTGGGCTTTTCAGCTCAGGGTCTTCTATACAGGACTTTTCAGCTTGGACCCAGTTGTGGGAGCTGGGGTTGGGGGACATTTTCCCTCCAAAGAGTGTTGTATTATGAGTTCCTCTCTAGGGTCCCTTAGTCTTGTATCCTCTTTAATGAAACTTGGTCTCTTTTGACCTTATTTTTCCCACTACAACAATCCTATATTCTGTTAATCCTTGACAGAACACTTCCCCTATAAATTCCCAGTGCTGGGCCCTTGGGGACTCCTCTTCCACTGATTTACTGGGACAGTTTGGATGGGGGAAAGAGGAGGAATTGGAGCTACCTAGGGCATAAGCTTGCTGCCTGCCCCTCTCCCCGATTCAGATGGCTCAGCTAGCTCTGGAGCCCCTGAGTCAGCGCCATTTTCCTGCTCTACTAACCGGAGTACAAGCCATGATTCAGGTCTGCCCCGAACCTCAGCACCTGGTACTTTGCAAAGCTTCTCTCCCACTGAGTACAAAGACCTGAGCAGGCATGGAGCCACCAGGCACAGAGGCTCCCAGCCAAGGAGGGGCTCCAGGTTTCTGGGCCAAAAACAGGAGAAAAAGCAAGACATGTTGGTGCACACCTGTAATCCCAGCACTCTGGGAGGTAGAGGCAGAAGGAGCGAAAGTTTAAGACCAGCTAAACTATTTAGCTATTTAATAAGACTGTGCCCCCGATTAAAAGTTTTTTTAAATGGTTGGAGATGTAGCTCAGTGGAAAGGACTTGGGTTCAATCCCTAGTACCACAAAGATAGATGATAGATAGATGGATAAATGGATAGATAGATAGATAGATAGATAGACAGACAGACAGATAGATAAGCAGAAGTACAGACAAGAGCTAAGAAGAGAGGAAAGAGATAGAGAAAAATGGTGTGGTAGGAGTGCTCCCAACAGCAAGTATGTGAGAGAGGGAGGGCCAGTCCCTTCCAAGGACAGGAGGGTGACACTCAGAGAAGAGTGGGGCCCTTGCTTTTCCCAAATAGCCCTGTCCCAGCAGGTCCAGGGCACAGAGGACACTGAGTCTGTAGCTAGGGGAGATGCTACCACTGGGGTTCCATGTTCATCGACACGTAAGGAGGGGTTGTTCCTAGGTTGTGCCAAGGACGAGGAGGGCAAGGCCAGCTTCAGGGCATGGTGGTGGCAGACAAAGGAAAGTCTGCTCTGACAACTGGCTCTCACATGGCATAGTCAGGGAAGGGCATGATGGCAAGGAGCCTTCTTAGTTGGCTGAGATAAGAACACGGAGGAGCGCAGCCCCACCCTACACCTCTCTCATTCACCCCCAGCAAGTGTTGTCCGACAGGTGAAGGGTTACAGCATCTCAGGAGTTTCGGTGTTGGCCCATTTGTAGGCTGAGACCCAAGCATTTGTCCCTCCCATCAGCCTCAGCCTCCTACCCAGCAGGAACAGGTTCTTGGTATCTCAGCATCCTATGGGACTGCAGAAGAGGTTTCACAGGTCATCACACCATGCCCTCCGTGCAGGCCCGAATCCCTAGCCAACTCTGAAGAGTCGTATTGTCACAAGGTTGTGTGGGGTGGGGGTGAGTATGGTGTCTTTTAGTCACTGTTAGCCATAATTAAGACTAAATGTGAAGTTGATTTAAAGAGTGAAAGAAATGGCTTCTGGGTGTACTTAAAAGTGACATAGGCGATGGGTATTGAAGGAAAGTTTGAGTTACAAGCATACAATTACAGCTTAGCTCAAAAAGTTACCCTTTTAAATGTCAGGAGTTGGAAACAAGTCAATTCAGAGACTGGCTGTGGTCCTAGCTTCGTTGCCTCTTAACTTTTTCCTGTCCCATGAACACCTGTTCTGTGAGAACAGAACTTGGAGAACGTTAATACTAAAGGACAAGTTACAGTGGTGTTGAGACACAAGACTATAGCCGTTCATGGTAACAGCGAAGGCACGAAGGAAAGGGTAGGACAAAGAGGCAAGAGGGGACCCGACTAACATCTGAGCTGGTATCTATTTAATGAGTCTGTTTATTATGTGCTTATTTGTCTTCATTATTTCACTTAATCCTCATAATAACTGTGGTAGGTGTGTTTTATTATTCCCTCCTTTTAGGTGAGAAAATTCACGTAGGTGGCTGGTAAAAGCCTGTGATGGCGCTGAGACTAAACCCAGATTTGTCAAATGCCAAAACCCATTTTCTCCATCTCAGCTCCTCTGAAGCAGATTAAAAGCACAAGGAGAACCCTTCTGCACCACGCTATCCTAGCAGTCTCTGCTTGTGGGCTTGTGCTCAGCGCTGTGGAAGAGCCCTGCGGGGAAGGGTGAGCTATACATCAGTGCTAAGTTCTGTGCAGCTGTGGGGTCAGCACCCCACAGGGGGAACAAAGTGAAGCCCGCTTCTCCAGAGGAGCGGTAGCAATCAGCTGCAGAGGCCCTTTGCAAATGTGCTCAGGTGGCCCACACTAGTTCTTCTGCATGTTTATTCATGGCAGACTATACAGATTGTTTGAAACCACAGCAGGAAAGACTGAGGTTAGGTTCAAGAAGCACTTCCCCAATACTTGGGGGTCAGGTATGGTTGCAGGGTTTTCCTGGAGCTCTGTGACCACCCAGTGTGGTGTGAATGTCTGAGGAGGTGTCCACAGGGCTCTGAGTATTTACCTACGAGTCTTCCTTCAGTTGGCAGGTCTCAAAAAACTACTCAAAGCATGGTTACTCCCAGGGTTACCTTATTCCCTTCCCTATTTCTGGAGCATTCTAATAGCTCTGAGTCTCTGGAGTCCCCATCTCTGTGTGCTTGGTGTTATACGCTGCACCCCCAGGTATAAATCTGTCACAGCCCCGCACATCACTGCCCTAAAAAACCACATATGCTTTCTCCCCTTTTTTCCTGTGGCAGAGGTCCACCCTTTCCCCTCATCCTAATCCTCTCCAGACCTCTGGCATCCAGACTGAGAACCTGCCTGATTACCTGATGCAAATGAAGCCTGCCTCCTTGACTGGGATTGGCTGGGGTGCTGAGTATGCAAATTAACTCACCAAGACTTTATGTGGTTTGAAAGAGTTAAAGTGCTGCCCCAGAGAAGAGGGTAGGGGTGAAGGGGGGGGGCAGCATGATTTGAATAAAATATTCTTCTGTTTTTAACAGCTTCAGTATTTGGGTGGTTTAAAAGGGGAGAAGAGAGACAGAGAAAGATATCATTTAAAGTTTCCTCTTTCCTTCCCTCTGCTGACCAGGGAGGAAACTTAGGGGCCTCATAGGTGGTGGCAGCTGTCTGTGGTGGGTAAATGTTTAATTTATTGAAATGAAGCAGGATGGAGGGCCAGGACTTGGGATGACACTGGGGCCCCGTGTAGGTATGCTTTCGTGGGCAGGGCAGTGACCCACTGCCAGCCCCTTTCTCACTGAGCAAGTTGAGGGAGTAGGAGAAGGTAAAGATCCCCAAAGAACAAAATCTCCAAGTAGATACAGAGGGTGTCACCCCCACAGTGCCCTGACCCCAAGAACAAGACAGAGGACAGAGGCAGGAGCTGGGCTTGAAAGGGGAGAAGGGCAAACCTTGGTTAAAGGGTACTCCTAGCTCCTGGGTGGGGTTATTATGTAGAGTGGGGAGGAATACTACTTAAGCTACTTTAAAGAAATAAAATTAAGTCCTCAAATCATAAAGGAAGGGAAGCCTGGGAATGGGAAGTGCCCCCCCTCACTCCACTCTTACACCCCTCCCATTGTTAAATTTTTACCATCTGAGTCTTGGTGATAGGAGGAAGTGGCAATGAATGATGCAAAAGGTGGGAGATGGTGCAGCAGCAGTGGAGAAAGAGGGACAGAAAGGCCTGGAGAGGAGGCAAGCCCAAGAGGAGGGGGCTTGTGTCCCCACACTTATGAATATTCTAATGGTTGTATGTTCAGGAATCAGGAATTTGAAAGTCTGATGGTGGTTGTAATTACATATTCATCTTTGCTGTTTAGTTAAAGCCACATATGTCATAGCAAGAAAAATTGTGACCTGTTATTAAAATCACTTGTGCTTCCCCCACAGATATCAAGATGAGTGGGGATGTAGCAGATTCCACGGACACTCGTAGCACCCTCAGCCAGGTGGAGCCAGGTAAGATTCTTCTCTTCTGGGAGGTGGAACACGCAAGCAGGGGATGGGAAAGAGTTGCCACAAATTGTCCAGCAATGTGGTGTCTCTTCTTGCTTGGTCTTTCAGCCAGTCAGACTCAAAAGCTGGGTCTTAGAAACTGAGGGAATTCTCTGGAGATGTGGGCTAGGACCCTGGAGCTTTGGAATAGTAGATATTACGGTTGGAGATTTAGCTCAGTGGCACAGTGCCTGCCCGGCAAGTGCAAGGTCATGAGTTCGATCCCTGGTACCGGAAAAAAAAAAAGGAATAGTAGATATTGCTCTCAGTAGAATAAACCTCTGGAACTAGTCCAGAAAGGAGCCAGCTCCTTAGGAACAAAACAAAACTAAAAAAGTTAAGGAAGTAGTTCATTATTGCAGTGCTGGGTTTCAAACCCAGGGCCTCACATTTGCTAGACAAGCACTGTACCACCAAGCTGTACCCTTTGATTCACTTTTTTTTTCCTGCACTGGAGCTCAAACTCAAAAGAGCTCTACCGCTGAGATACATCACCAGTATTTTTTTTATTTTTATATTGAGACAGAGCAGTGCTAAGTTGCCCAGGGTGCCCTCAAACTTGAACTTGCCATCCTCCTACTTCATTTCCCCCTGAGTAGCTGGAATTTCAGCCATGTACCACCACATCCAGCTGTGATTGACTTGGTGATGTGCCATTCCAACACTCCTAGAAGCAGCAGGCTATGTTCTCTGCTACTGATGACAAAAGACAGGATCTGTCTTTGGTGGATGAACTAGAGACTTTTAGTCCCAGATTTTTGAGTAGGCCTTGTGAAGGAACTAACTAAAGAAGTTCATGTGCAATAAGTTCAAGTTCAGTGCATGTGAGTGGCAAGTAGAAATTGTTTAGAAATAACTTTGCTTTTTTCAAGAGATAGGGCATGGAAAAAAATTGGGAAGAAAGTTGCATACATCCACAGCCTGAGCCTTGATTTGAAAACTTCATATAATTAAAAAGAACATAAAGAAAGATAAGTAGAAATTGTAATATCACTGAATAATTTCAGTAGCATCCCAACAAGACCTCAATTAGTCTTTCATCTGGATCATTAGAGGCACAGAAATAAGAAGTGGAAAAGAATCAATGTCCCTTAGAGCTAAACTCTTTTTCAAGTCTTTTGGAAAATTCCAGCTCCGCTGTTAAAGCTAAAAGAGCTGGGATCAGGAATAAGGCAGTTGGGGGTGGGGATTTATCTGTAGGATACATTTGCCACAAATTTTTCTGCTCCCCAATTTATTTATTAATTTTTTTAAACATTGTGCTCCTGGGAATTGAACCCAGGAATATTGTACTACCAAGTCATATCCTCAGCACCTTTTAATTTTTTGACACAAGGTCTCACTAAGTTGCTCAGGGTGAAACAGTCTCTACATGCACAGGTTACAATGTACATAGAAATACAGTCTTTGCTTTACTTAGAGGAACAGCTGGACTAAGGAGAGTGAGAGCCAGTTGCACCTTTTTTTTTTTTTGAGACAGGGTCTCACTATGGAGTCCAGCCTGGCCTTGAACTCACTATGTAGCCCAGGCTGGCCTGTATCCTCCGAAAGCTGCAATTACAAGCAGGCACCCCCACACCCAACCTGTACCCATCTTTCAATTAATTTGTTAACGAACCATGTTTTACTAAAGTCTGTGGAAAAAGGCACTTGTCCTTCCTTCCCAGCTGAGAAGAAATTTTCCTTCAATCTCTCAGTGGAAGGTAATGGGAAGGGTGCTCACACTGATACTCTTCTCTAGAGAAAAATCAGAGTCCAGGAGCCAAGATCCTGGAGAAGTTGGATTGCCTTTTGCTAGGGTGACCAGACCCAAGTCTGTCCACATGGAAAAAGACCACACTTAACACTGGCACTGGTCTCTTGTTACTTATTATCCTCACCAAGCCAAGGGAACAGCGTTAGGATAAAAATGAGCCACACAGAACCCTAAAAAGTGGGCCAGGAAAGTGGGGTGGGGTCTCTGACCCTGCTGGGAGATTCAGGAGGTTAATGTGTTATGGACAATCTGAACAAATTCTGGCCTCTTATTTGGGACTGTGAGAACTATGTATAGTAGGTAAAGGGAGAAGAAAATCTGAACATAGACTAGGACCCTCAGAATCTGTCAGCAAGGATACTGTCAATGGGCTATGTGACTTCAGCTCAGTCACTCTGACTCTACAGGAGGCAGGAACAGATGCCTTTAAAGACTATGGATTTCAGATAAAACCAGCCTGGGGTAAGATCTACAACTGTGCTACTTACTGGCTGCGTGAACAGATCATTTATCCACATCTCTTTTGTAAATAGAGAAAATTAATGTCCTTCTTAGAGAATGTGTTGAGAGTTTCTTGACATGATGTCAAAAGCCCTTAGTGCAGTGCTTGGTGCAGGGCAGCTGGGATCATCATTACCTTTGAAGGCAGCATTATGAGTCTGTGACTGTACTGTACGGAGTGGGCACTGCTGCTGAGGGCTCTCAGGCTACAAGTGGCTGGGCTGCTCTTTTCCCTCCTCTTGTTGCCAGTGCTTCAGCACCTGAGGTTGATTTTGCTTTGTTCACCAATCAGGGAAAGATTCTGCGTGGGTTCTCTTAAACTCCCAGAAAACAGTGGTGTCTACAATTTCTGTGCTGTCTGAAACTTCACCACCCCTCAGTATTTCCCTTCTGGACTCAGCTCCATGCCCTGTAGCATCAGTGCCTAGGTGATCCCAAATTACAGCATATCTTTAAGAGCAAGAGAAAAGAAGTCGCTAATTTTCTTCACCAAACTTCCTGGAAGGTCATTCTGACTCATTTTTTTTTTAAAGAGGAAAGCTTATTATGAATTACAATGTCTACCCACTTGGTTTAATGGCTTCCTTTGAATTTCTAAAAGATGCTTGTGCCTTCCCAGCATAGATGGATGAATTAATAGGTGGTTTGTCTCTGGGTTTTAAAGGAACTATAAGTGAAGGTGACCTAGGAAGCCCCATGCCCTGTGAGCACCGTCAGTGTTGTGTGAAATCCCCAAGGGGTACAAAGGATGGGAGCCTGGAAAGGTAAATGAATTTCCCATCCACACTGGCCAAGGAGAGCATTTTCAGACCTGAACACAGACATCCTGGGTGGGAAGACTTGGCAGGGCACTCATCTTTCTCTTTCCTCCAGCGCTGAAGAGAACAAATTGCCTGAGACCTCAGAATATCTTTGTAGGAGCACCAGAGACCTGGCAAAGGTTTTAGAACTTCTGTCCCCTGCACCTGCTCCCATACTCAAAAGACTGAAGCCAAGTTCTTTTTAGATTGCTTTTCCATCCTTCTTATTATATCCCTATCTATTACTACTTTTCCTTCACTCTGGAGGTTGACGATACAGTATGCTTCTGTTCTCAGTTAGTGGTGGATGAGAATATAGCCTTGTGATGTTCACAAGCCCCCAGGTACCCATCAGCCAACCCGATGACATTGACCACACCGCCGACATCATAGTCTTAAACAGGAGCAAGGGCAAGGTGGAGGGCTTAGAAAAAAGGCAAGGAAGACCAGTAACTTTTCCAATGCCTCCTCCCCAGACCCACCTCACGTGGCAGCTTTATGTACACCATCTCATTGAATTCTGACAATAAGCCCATGCAATAGAGACATCATTAGCCCATTTCCCTTCAGGAGGAAATTGTGAGGCTGAGAAACTGACTCCATCACAGGATCACACAGCTTACAACCAGGAACCAGACTCAGGCCTGTGTGACTGTCAGGCTCTTACCATGGCTGTGCCATGAACTCCCTGCATATTATTTGGCAAGTGTCTCCCCAGATGGACCTTCGTTTTTCTTCCCTACAAAGGAAGAGTTTGGACTACCTAGTCTCTAACGCTGAATCATAAAAGCTATATGTACAGTCCCGCTATTCAGAACTCTCTCCCATCTGTTGGCACACCTCGCATTTGTGCGTGGGTTTCCCAGTGCCAAGCAGTTTCCCTCACCCCCTCCCCATTCCCTTCTTTTCCCCTTCTCTTTCATCACTCTCCCCTCCACGTCTGCAGTGGTCTTGCTCTGAGCAGGTTCTGATCCTCTGCTTGGCCCAACTGGCAGACCTCTAACTGCCATCTGTGGAGCATCACTTCAGGTCAGACCCTGGGTTCAGAAAGGTAGGGAAATGTCCCAGTCCCCAAAGAGCTTTGCTTCAAGTGCAGGAGCGCCTGGTTGTGTGGACAGCAGACAACCATATCTGTAATGCTTTCTCAAGCACATCATGCACTTGGCCTTTACAAAAACTCTATGAGAGGCAGTGTTATGAGCCCCCTTTCCAGATGAGGAAATAGAGATTAGGATAGGGAAGATTGTTAACTGCCTTTCCTAAGATTGCCTGTCAAGCAGATGATGGACTGAAGCCTGGATCTTTCTATGACTTTCTCCTTAAAGATGATGGTGGGAAGATAGGGCCAACACAGAGAACCAGGGACAGAGGACATGAGCGAGTGGCAGCATCAGGACAAATGCCAACATTAGGGAGAACGGCACTACAGGGCTAGAGGGAGCCACATCCCCTGTAGGTGGACTGATTTAGTCCAAGAAACAGAAGCCCTGTCCTAGGGCCAAAGCATGCTTGCTTTGGAGGAGAGGAGAAGGGCTGGGGTCAACTCCCTCCCTCTGCTGAACTGTGGTGATTGAAGAGGAGCTGAGAGAGAATTTCCCCCCTGCCTCCTGAGCCAGTCTCCCTCTAGGTCCTAGCTTCTACCCCTCTGCAGCCTCCCTTGTCATTTAACAGTGGGGCAGGGGTCCAAACCTAGGTGACCATGGAGCAAGTATCTTGGCACCCTTGTCCTGGTCAGAGGTCTGGGAAGGAAGGACTCCAGGAGGGGAGCTCAGGGGAAGAAAGGAGACCTCAGAGGTGAGAGAGTGAACTTGACCCTGCTACTCATCTCTCTTGGGTGTCCTTTCTTCCTGATCGCAATTGTCCTAGCTGTGAGATAGAATGACTAATGTCAGCAAACCAGCTGGGGA